AGTACACTGTAATCAAACCCTGAGCTAATATAGAAATGAGACTGTTTTTTTAACCATTTTGTATTATTTTCAAAATAAAAAGCACCCCAGCAGATCTATGCTGGGATCTCAATGTAGAATTGAGAAAAACATTGCAAGAGGCTTACAATAATTAAGTTATGTGAACAGTAATGTACAGCAAATATGAGTATTCAACTATTTATCCCATGTTGTCCCAACTATGGAGTACTGCAAGTTAGAGGGAAAGGAGGTGAAAAAATTGACATTAAAACAAGAAGAAAAACAAGCGCACAAGGCGTCATGGTGAAGATGTGTGGTGAGAAGAGAGAGCGAGACAGAGCGCTCGGAGGATGAAGGCTAGCAGGGAGGGTGAAGGGCAGAGAGGGAGACTGGGGCTCAGCATGGTACTCCAAACTGACACACAGCCACGGGACACAGGCTCCAATTAGAGTCAGAGCAACGCTAATCAAACCTGATCTACAACCTCTGGCTGCAGGGTGAGTGAACGTGTGTGAGTGTGTTGAAGTGTTCACACATAAATCCACAATGCTAAAATACAGTCACACTGTGCTAAGCATTTCACATTCTGCTAAATTATGTTTGCATTCATCTTGGCTTTTACTCCAGTATGTGAAAAGACAGAGTTTCTCTTAAAGAAAGGTAGGCTGGGATCAATTCAGTATCACAATGGGCATTTTTATAAAGTTTAAATCCCCTCATTTTCAATATCCTTGACAACTGCCTAATGACAAATATCCACCTAGCCGCAATGCATATCCCTTTCAATCATAAGTCAGTGAAGTGCTTCTTAGATATTATATCAAGGCCCACCATGGGCAAAGAAAATCACACAGAGAAATGGGGGAAATGTGAGACAGTATCGCCTATCTAACACAGGAAATGGGACTGTTTGAAGATCTGCATGGTAGTGTGGTTGCTTCATAAATGTTCTCCTTTAGCTATCTCAAAGCAACAAAAACCTATGGGGGTTAGATTACGGCCAGTGGCAAGGTAGAGGAAATCCACTCTCATTTATCATCAAGTGCAGTTGAAATGTAGCTATCCCTCATCTTCATTCAATATGTCTTCCACTTGTCTACAGACAGTGCCTTATACTGTATGTATGTACACAAGGGGGAAGTGAAATGCACAGTCCATCTTGGAGTTATGATAGCTAGTGATCAGAATACTAATAACAATATCTGATTAAAGGAGTAAACAAAGGCAGACCAATTAAATCAGACTCCTTGTGATGCCAATTAGCCCCTACCACATTAGTGTGACTCTTCCCTGACAGTGAGGCTACCTCATTGTTTTTGGACACCAGCCGCGCCACAATGAGCTGAATCATCCCTCGCTTGTTGCCCTCTACAGACATGGATTTGCGAAGCGTTTCCATGGCGTCCTGGTTGGTCATCCCATGCAATGACTCCCCGTTGACTGCAATGAGTTGATCGTTAACACGTAGACGCCCATCCTGCAGACAAACACCATTAAGGGAAAGTTAGACTCATAAAATACTTGCTTCTGAGTACAGTAGTTTTCAACCCTAACAAAATACTGGGGTAAGATCATAATCTTATTTTCCTATTCACTTTCTCGGGAACACATTTTAATGTGTTGTAACTCTCTGGTTTCAGACTTAGGAGGACAAACTGTCCCACACAACTGGTATTTATGAACACTTAAATTTAACAGTGCAAGGAAATATTGTTGCCCCAAGGAAAAAAGTGACCATGACAAGGACTTTGAACCCACACAGCATGATGGTCCATCTCATCTTGTGCTTGCATGTAGCTCCTCAGTTAAGGTAATAACCAGAGTGTGTGTGGATGGGAGTAGTTACTTGCCTTGCTAGCAGCACCTCCATTGATAATGGATTTCACAAAGATGCCCAAGTCAGTGTGGTTCTCCTTGGACCGGTTACCCTTGACGCTGACCCCCAGGCCTGCTGAGCCCGAGTCATTCAGAGGGATCTCAAAGGTCATGAACTCTTTTGTACCATCAGGTGTTAACACCATGTCATCTTCTTCTGGCTGCTGTAAGAAAAGAGAGAGTGTCTTTTTAGTACATGATTTGGCTGTCCAAAACAAAAAAGAAAAGTGAATATTTTTCCTCGCTCTAGAATTGCTGATGTTCAAATAACTTTTTAAAAAAAGCAAAAAAGAGGCACAAAAATCTACATGACTCAACTTACAAACCAAAGTTGGCAAACTGTTGTTGAGCCCAACTACGACATCATTTTGCATTCAAATGGCTGTGTGAAGTATCTAACTTTAACTTTGGTGAAAAGACAGAAAAACAAAGAGAACAAAAAAAGATAACAGAGACTAGCGGAACAAAAATTGAAAGAACAGGGATGGTGAATGACAAGAAAATGGAAAGCAGGCGGGAGACAAGATAAAGAGGAGAAAGATGAGGGGAGCAGGAGAAGAAAGCGAATGGATGGCAAGCATGTCACACATCTCAGGGCTGTCATCGTCAATTGGCCATACTGTCTAGCCGAGCGCTGCTAATTCCGTTCTACCGTCATGAGCTTGGTGAAGGAACAGTGGGGACGGCGGAGAACTTTGAAAACGCCAGGTAGCAATTTGGCGCTCAAACAACAGTGGCTTCCTTTGAACAACACCCCTTTGAAAGATAATTGTGACACGTTAAGAACCCGACCCTCCTTCCCTATGCGATCCATGGGCCTTTTGTTGAAAATTACCATAGTAGCGTTTTGTTGCTGGGCCGGTTCTGCAGATCCTCATGCATGGTACACAAAAAATGGTTCATTTCAGCTGCCAGAGAGGTGTGAGAGAGTTACTGCTGAGTGTTTAACACCCAGCGCGACCAATTCAGCTGGAAAATAGTCCATCAAACTACCACTCCAGTCCCTTTTTTGACAATTTCCACTGGTGTCTATCAAAGAGCATCTGTAAAAAAATAACCAAAGGAATAGCATTTGTGTATTTTACTTCTCGCTTGCAGCTAAACAGAAGTGAAAAAGAGGTGTGAGGGAAAGCTAATGGTGTAGAGAAAACACCAGAGGCATCAAAGAGCTGGCAGTTTCTTCAGGCAAAAACTGGTAAGGGTTTAAGAATAAATAATAATTACCATTTAGTGGTACAGTGCCTACCAGAGATTTCTGAGCGGTGAGGAATGCGCTGGAACCAAAATCATTGATCTCAGTCTAGTTGTTCTTCCCTAACAGTTTGAAAATTAGACACTGCTTGGTTATCTGTATATTTCCAAGAGGAAGTAACACACCTCTGCCATTGGCCATTGAGCTGCTCCACTTGGGTTCTTGGGGGTTAGGTTCTTTGCGCAAGGGCACCTTGGCAGCAGGAAATTAGTGTGTTTCCTATTCACTTTACCCGCAGACGTTTATATTCAGCAGATAAAAGCTGACGACTGTCCGATCAGAAGCCCGCTCGACAGGAAGCGTGAGAGCAGTGCTGTAATACTGTGCTTGTGCCAGATTTGTACTGTACGTGCGTAGTTATTGCCATGGCAGCCAAATCCACATGAACAATACTGGCAGTGAGAGCAATCAACCCCAGAAACCCACCCCAAAACCTCTTTAAATAGACTCACATCAATACATACGCGTGCACACACACAGCCAGATGGATGGCAGCCAGGTGTGTGCCCTTCACAGCTGCTCGGATAAAGAGTGAAGCAGAGGAAAGAAGAGAAAGATAGAGCATAAGGTAGGTTTTTTTTTCCTTTTCTGAGGCTGAGGAGTTATTAGGATGCAGCGGTGCGTTCAGGTGGAGGCTCTTTTCAACACCCTCTGACTGAGCCCCTATTCTCCAGACGGCCGTCCTATCTGCCCCTCCTTTTTTTTCTTTTCTCTGTCTGTACAACTTGCCAACTGGGCTTTGTCCGTGACTGGACCCCTAGTAAATGCAGACCGCTGGAATCCATTTAAGCGCGCTGCATTTCAGCACCTCCGGTTCTATTACAGAAATCACCGGCACTTGTCAGGAAATTACCCTTTGCTTTTCCTCGGACAACTGAGCGAAGCGGATAGGGGACAGAAAAAACAAAACAATTGAAAAACAATTTGTTATCCAATGCAAGGGTAGATATAATGCATCAAGAATGTCTGACATCCCATTATTAAGCTTGTAAAGACATAATGTCAGAATTTCTATAAGGTTTGACGGCTGTTATATTGCACCTTAATGCAACTTGCGGGTTTTGATCAGTTGGTTTCCAATGCAGGCCCATAGCAACGCAGCACAAACATACAATTTCCACTCTGAAAAGAACACTGATGGATGAATGGCCTTGTGCGTCATTGGCAGGGTCAGTCTTTATCTTTAATGAAGATGTTTTATCAAAATAAAATAAATAAATAGTGGCTGTGAGTTATGTCCCTGGAGAGGCTTTTAGCCCAGGAGTTGAAGATAGTAATACATTGGATTAAAAAAAATACTTTGGATGGACCCTGTCTGAGCCTGTGTGTGCATGAGTGTGTGTAAGTGTGTGTGCGTACACTCTCTTCCAAAATGATGACAGAATAACCACCCACTCAGAGCTGTGTTCCGGGAATAGCGGGCCGAGACAGAGAATGAGAGAGCAGTGTAACATTTTCATCAGACAGGAACAAGCGCCGCTAGCCAAGAATGAGTTTGTCAGGCTGCTTGACAGACCTCGTTGCACCGATTTAGCTCAGGCAGAGCTGGATTCAACTACCTCTGAACAGGAGAAAAAAGTAAGTCAGCTCATTGTTCCAAGCCCTGTGTATGCACCTGGGACAGACAGCACAAAGGTACTGACAATAGATGAACTGATGTAAAAACACTGAAAAGGCTGCATGCTTAAATCAACTTCAAAAAGCACCAGGGAAAAGTTTTATGCAAAATATGTCTGTGTTATCAGCCAAAATCCCAAATTGTTCACCGCGACATCTTGGCTTCAACATGTATTCTCAAATACATTTTTTTCTCAGGTACGGTCAGAAAACCTTCTGCACTAATGATGACTGAATGTCTCTAACACCTGCATCCCTACAAACTGCTAAAGCCAGGAACAAAGTCTACCTGACTGTGAAGACACATGGCCTCACACATTTAACAAGAAACATTATTTGTAGATTGCATTAGGGAAGTTGACTTCCTCAGAGCGCGGGATACACGGCATGCCCTACATTCCTCGGTTGTGTGAGAGAATGTAAAGCGAGCTCAGTAGCAGACTCCATTGTGAATGACGACCATGGGAATGAATAGAACTTTGTTACCTGCATTTCTATAATGTTTTCATGCTGCTACATATAGCAACTTCCTCAAATGTTATGACATGTTTACATTCTGTTTGTTTTCAAGAAGATATTTTGTGTCAGCCTTGGATGATGTGGCCCTGAACTGATTTTATTTGGCACTCAAGATTTAAATCTCCAGGTATTGTGTTATTACTACTTGTGTAGATAAGTAAATAAAATGCTTGTCTACACTGTGTGTAAAAATGTGTTTATAAGTGCTCTTACACTGCAATAAAGCTGCCACTTGTCCATGTGAGTCATCCTGTTTTTCAGAGTACTCTCTACAGTCAAAATTGTTGTCATGGTCAAACCACATGACATTACTGTATGCCATTTCCTGTTTGAAAAGAAGAGGTCCAGATAGTGTGTGATGTTGCATCACATGTTTTAAAGTGAACAAAAAATCCAAAAGATGCCACGACTGGCTGCAAATTTTCCATGTTGTTCATGTACCAATCATTAAGGTCAAACTTAATACTTGACCAATTTTTTGTGGAGTGGTTGTAATATTATTATTATCATTATCCCAATAGCTCAAGTGACCAGCCACTTGGCCAGCTCATCACAAAGGCGCGTGTTGTATTCTTTTTGCTCTCTGACACAGCCATGCAGTCCATTATACAATTAAGCCCTTTATTAATTAAAACTGTGATGGGGTAGCAGCCATTCATTACAGTCTATTGTCCTGGCAGGGGAGGGCGACAGAGGCAGCATTTGAGCAGAGACACAAGCAGGTGAGTAGAGGAGGGCAGAGAGAGGAAAGAGTTGCGCATCAGTCTAGCAACAGAACCCTGCCTGCTTAATAGGCCTTTTTGTTTTGTTTCTACCTCGCTTAACTCGTCATGTGCTAATAAGAAAGGTGTGCTGGATGTGTGTAGGTGTGTGTCAGAGAAACAGAGCAATAGAAAAAGCAACAGCGAGATGCAAGAAAGAAGAGAGAGAGAGAAATAGAGAGTGCAAATGAATCACAATTACTTCTATTCACACATAACTCTGAGTTCTCCGCACATCACTGCCTAAAACAATTAACACTGCTGGAAACTTCTTTCCACACTTGGCCCAATTTGGAGACATAAAGGTCATTGGAAATGAATTTAAAAGGGCTAAAAGAAATCAGCCATGGGTGTAATTGCAAAAGTGGTGCACACGTGATAAGTATTGTAACACAAATTTCCTTTGGCGGTGTTTCTACTCGCAACATTTTCTGACAAAAGGGGCCGAATATTAAATACCTCTAAGCCTAAAAACAAATCCAGCCTTTTCCAGGCACAATGAGGGGTTGAGAGCTGTTACACAACACTAAAGGGCATGAAGCACACAGCTGGCAGTGGCAGGTTTTAAGTGTTTGTGAACTAACATTGCATGGTCTTCACTGGGCAATCCAGCAGATTTTGACTCAGCGCTGACAAACTGGGACTGCTACCCTTTGGGGATTGTCTAATGAGAAAGCTCATTTGGCTCATTAGCAGAATAAAGTCTGTTTCTATGAGGGCATCTGAGGCCAGATCTATCTACATCACTGCAAATGCATTATGGCTACTGGCTTTCAATGAAGACACTGAGTGGATCTCACAGTGAGCAACCGAAAGCAGAGCCATATGCAGGGTTGGCTTGACACTAGATGTTTCTGTGGGTATTTTAGGAAGCGATTACATCTAATCAAAGAGAACATGAAAAAATAAAAGGTGACTTTCTAAGTGTACTTGGCAACTGGGAATGTTTGTAAAGGCGTTACAGCGGAACCAAAGTATAGACGCACATCATGAAGCAGATGCCTCTCATTTCAAG